GCTATGACATGCACTGACCGCCAAGTGGCAGACACTCAATGAAGGTGCTGTCCCCTGGTGGTCAATGCACTTCCACAGAGAGAGTGCCGCTCAGCCAGAAGCCAGGCTCGTGGCTAGAAAGGATAGTAGCAGTAGCAGGAGCCTCTCCCACCTCCGTGGTAGTGCTAAGGACCTCTCAGGAGATATCCGCCTGCCAGCTTAGACCCATGGGAACAGAGCCTAAGCCGCAGTCGGACATCCCCCAAGGGGTCCAGGACTGTGAGAGGGTATAGGCCAGGCTGAGGAACACTCCTCCCTGCCCCCCCCCCCCCCCCCCCGCATAAATGTGCACTGGGCTTCTAATTTGTATAATAAAGCAAATGATAGTGAATAAAGCAGTCAACATGACAGAGATCAGAGGACTGTAAATTTGAAGTGTTAGTTTTGTCCATTTTGTGACTATTAATTTGATAATTTTGATATAGGTTTCTTAGATCAATTACATATTACAGTTTATTAATGTTCATAACATTTATTCAGGATAATTTGATGATAACTATTTTACTTGGTTGAAACAAAGACTTAATATAGTGATGAATAAAGGCCAAAGATTGTATCTCTAAAAATAAATTCCCTAATCTAGCTCCAATTCATTTGAAATATTAGAAGATTCGTCCATTCTAACGTCCATCTCTCTATTTCCACAGATGGTAACTAGCTTCTGCAATTGTCTCAAGTGTTGACGACAGAATTCTACAAAAAAGCTTCACTTTTCTTAAAGAAAAGAAAAAGAATGTTGCTATAAAATGCTCAGAATCTAAGCTACTTTATTTATTAGTGAATGCTTGTGGGTATACTTTTCCTAGACCTTTTCTTCTTAGGATCATGGTAGTGGCCTATGACCTAAACCCCTTTAGAAAATTAAAGTTTCTCTTTGCTCCTCCCTCCCCTTCTCTCCTTCTCACCCTCTCTCCCTCCCTCCTTTCCTCCCTCACCCCAACTCTCCTCCCTACGTGTCTTTCTTTGGGTCTTTGACTCTGTTGACTCTATTTCCCTCCCTATCTTACCTCTATTGGGTAAATATACCCCAAAACAAAAAGCTTTTCTTTGCCTAAGAAAATGTTCAAACAAGCAGCTGATATCTGTCCCTGCATCTCTTCTGCCTATTGTGGATGTGCTCTGAATTATAAATTCTTAAACATATCTGTGCTTCAATAAGAAGTAGGGGGATATGACACATGGTCTACTTTACTTCTAAGCTCTTAGAGCCTAAATGGAATAGATGGAGAAAGTCCATCTAAAATGCTCTCCATCTTTTTAGTTCAGGATAACTCACAAGGGCTCGGTTATTGGAGTGTGGTTCTAAAGCCCTAGAAAATCCTGTCCTGAATTTTTTCCATGTCTTACCTTCTCTTTTCAGCTTCACACAGAAGCACAAAACAAGGGCTGATTTGTCTAATGTAGATTTAAATGTTTGTGTGTCCCATAAGGTCACATTAACATCTTTCAACAGTTGGTACTATGAGAACTATAATATAAAAATGAACAAGATATTATACTCAAATTATTTCCCTGGTGCCAATCTCCCCTAGTAGTACTCCTTTTTTATGTTGTTTTGAAATAATTTTATTATATATTTTTCTAAATGTAAAAAGTGCTTTTTATAAAATAAAAAGTTAGAAAATCTGGAAAGCTATACAAAGAAAAGAAATAATAACTTATATATAATCCCACAAGCCATTGACAGTCACTAAATTTTAGAGAAAACCTACTGTGTTGTGTTTGTCTAAAAATTCTTGAGCTAAAGTAGTAAATTGCAAATTCTTTTCTACTGGTAGACCAAAGCCTAAACAATGGTCAATATATTTTCCCATATTTAATGTAAGGAAAGGCCACAATTTCAGGGGGAAAAAAGCAGAAAGAAGAATGATTAAGATATTTAAGAGATCAAAAATATTTATTTCAATTTTTATTAGGAGCTAATTGGTCCCCATTGCACTTGCCCATCCTACCTGGTTATGTGGGAAAGGATCCAAAAGGGAGTGAGAGGATAAATATAAAAGGTCCAAGCATATACAGTATAAGAAAGAGGGTGCTTCAGGCCACCTCAGTACCAGATCACTCAACACAATGCAAGCCCCTTACCTTTTTCAGATGAATTATATTGTGCATCTTTGGCTTTGAGTGACACATTTACTAGAGGGCCATTACATGAAGTATTTCTCTTCTTGAATCAGGAGTCAAGAAGCTGTGCAGGGGAAAAGGATTTGAGCTCCTTTAAGAGGCAAAAACCATCATATAGGAAGTGACCTGAATTTGGCTAATCAAAGTGGCATAGTGGTGGAAATCACTTAAGAAGAGATATAAGAGGTTGGGGGGGAGGGGGTGTTACTGTTTACTATGAGATAAAATATTAGTACTTCCCTCTAGTGTTCCTCTTGGAGGAATGCTTCCACATTCCCACAGTGGTGAGTTGGACTCGCTTTGGCCAATTGTATGTGCAGGTAATGGTGTGTGCAGATGAGATATAGAGGCTTTAATAGCCTATGTGTGGTGCACCATGTCTCTGTGCTCTCTGAGGTGACAAACTTCCAGAGGGAGGGAAGGAAAAAGGGAGGGAGGGAAGGAGGGAGGAAGGGAGGGAGGGAGGGAGGGAGGACACCATCACCCTTAGTTCTAGGGGAAATACAACAAGTAGAGCTGGAGCAAAGCAGGGAAGAATATGAGTGGAGAGAAATATTTACTGTTATGATTTTTGTGTATTACTGCAATCAAAACTAACCTATTCTGATGGATATAAGTTGGATGCCAAAGCTTTCACAAACTGATGAGGGGATGCAATAGATGACACCAACCAGAGGGATAGAGCAAAACACAGCTGGAAGAACTGCGCAGCAGAAGAGATCCTGTGTTTTATGTAAGAGTGACAGTAAATTTCTGGAAGCTGCATAGACTCAATTTTCTCACTATGAATTCGACTCTGATTCATAGGTTACTTTTACTCGACATGATACTGTGAGAAATTTTTAAGTTTTAAACCTTTTTGGAAAACAACATTTTTAATGGTTATGCTCTGACTTACTTATTGGGTTGTTACTATATACTTACTATATACTTATTAGGTTGTGTACTATCATTTGCCATTGTCAAGGATACTATTAAAATATCTTAATCTTGATACTCAAGGCTTGAGTATATAATTTTATTAGCCTTATTTGACTGAATTTTATTTATTTAAAATCACTTTTTGTATTATCTTTTGCATTAGATTATAGCTCTTCATATGCAGATATTATGGTTTTTTCTCTTAATCTCTTTTGATAATCTTCCAGTAAACTATACAGAGCTCATACTAATAATTATAACTATGAACATAATTTTCTCTGACTCTTATGGAGATAACTGGCCAAATGCTCTCTTAACATGGGTCACCGAACTTTACAAACAATCCCATGTATTTACATGAAAGCTGGTTCTAGTGTGTAAACTGAGTTTCATTCTACATTTGATACAGATGTCCAAGAAGCTCTCGTAGAGATCTTTAGAAGACAATTAAAAAAATTGTCTTAAAATCAATATTTTAATATATCCAAATCTCTATTTCTCTTCTTATTCAAAAATTGAAAGCTATTAAACACAATAAGATTTGAGAAAGTCAAAACCTTAACTGATTCAACTGTGAAAGCCTATTTTCTTACTTGAGCAAAAATATAAACAAATAGTAATGCCATTCTGTATAAGTAGGAATCCCAAGTTTGGTGGAGTTAAAGGGGAAAAGTCTCACGTAGTTACAGACCTGTAGGAAAATGTGGGACCAGGGCGTTTGATGTACATATATGCACTTATCCATTTGTCAGAGTGGTAATTTCCTGCACCTGTCAACCTGGTTCATGCAGTTCCTAATCCTGTTTACCAGCTAGTTATATCCTGTGATTAAAACTTACAAGAAAACAGAATAGCAGAGGAGGAATAGGAAAAAAATTAACAAGGCAGTAAAGTAGTAAAAATAACTGCTTGCACAATGATATGCTTTAACTCATTTGGAGTAAGTGCCGGCCATTAAATATAGTCAAAACAGATAACGTGCTGTGAATTACAGGGTCTTAAACACCACTTTTAACTGATATTTGACTTGTTAAGTATAATGGTGGGTGGAGAGAGGACTATCACCATAAATAATAGAAGATAAATTCTAGGCCTGTCAGCAATGATTTCTTGTGTGTTATTTTCACTTAAACACCGAAAGAAATGACAAAGGCATAAATAGAATGGAAACTAACTTAATGAAGTCTTTTTTATATATAGTTCCGTAACATTGACTCTAAACCAGTTTCCAGACAAGACAATTTCAGCACTTCTATCAGTCCTCAGGATTTTCATGTCATCTACCTTTTGTGGGTTGTCGTTTTTTTTCAATCTAATGGTGTCTGCAAACTCCTTTTTGACATGCAAGGTTTATCCTGTAGTTGAAGAAGATGTGCTACAGAATTTTGTAAACCTAGTTACAAAATTTGAGTACTACATAGTGATAAATCTAACATAGAGAAACACTGCAGACGTCCAAAGGTGAAAGGGAAGCTTCCAAGAGTACTTCCATCTGATCTGCCATTGTTCTAAATTTACATGGTCATTACAAAATCAAAGCAAGTCAAAAATTGTGCTGCATTAACCCTCCATATACCAGCAATTTTCAAGAGATGTGCCACAAGAATTTTTAAAACATGCAATACATATCTGACTATTTAGACAGGGGCATTGACCTTTTCCCTTCTATTGTCAAAGTTAAAAAATGACAGCAGCCATCACAATAGCTGCTTGATGAAAATTATACCTTTTTCATCACATCAGCAAAAATATATTTTTTGGTGTGCCTCAGAATTTTAGTCATTTATGTGTGGCATGAGATGAAAAAGGTTGAAAATAGCTGTCATACACTAATGGTTGTCTATGAACAAAAGTTGCTTTAAGAAAGTCAATTGGTAACGGATTAATCCTTTCATTCAACCATCTTATTAAGACGATTTTACATCAGACATCATTTCATGTACTTATATAATAAAAATATTAAGTGCCTCATCCCTGTTTCTCTTAAGGACCTAGATATATGGCTTGGATCACAAATTCTAAAACACTAGAAAAGCCAAAGCCTTTTTCACAATTGCTGTGATTCCAGACCCCTGCCTGATTTCGGTGCTGTCTGCTTCCAAACCTATCTATGCCTGAAACTTTGTTCCTTTAACAGTGGACACACACACACACACACACACACACACACACACACACCTGCTTAGTCTCAAGTTTAGTAATGCTATTAAAAATGTAGGACTAACAAGTATAGAATTATATGGCAGAATATACAGCCTTCTCCCATTTCTCTTGTTCCCTGCCTCTCTCCCCTGTTATATCTTCCTCCTTTTTATCACCCTCCTTTATCCATCAAGGCCAAAACAAAGTATTTTCCTAGCTGTATGTCTGACATCTCTGCCTCATTTTATTGACATGTCCTAAGTCAAAACAAAGCCTCTCTCTCTAGTTTGTGACACTCTATTTCTCAGTAATATCTCTAATTTATGGAACAGGACTGTTCAATAGAACTTTCTGCAATGACGGAAATGTCCATAAAATAACTACCAGCCATATGTGGCTATTGAGCATTTGAAATGTGGCGAGTGCAACTGAGGAACTGAATTTTAATTTTATTGCATTTTAACTCACTTAAATAGCCACATGTGTCTGGTGACTACCCTACACGACCACAACCTCTCCAGATAAAGTAACCTCTGCCAGGCATTTAGTACTCACTTATTAATCAGAGTTGTATTGCCAACCAAGTTATTAAGTATGTTTTCCTTCATAGACTTTTATTTTCTTCATATTAATATTCTAATATCTTAATGAAAACATAAAAAGTTAAATTATCAAACCAGACTCACATGAATCCAGAGTTTCAAGCTCTACCAATAATTTTGAATTTAAAAAAAAGCCAGAGCCCAGGCAAAGCAAGATGTCGGATCCCTAGTGTAGCTCCCCTGGTGCTTTCTCACCACATCACAATAGCCCCTGACCCTCCTTAACAAAAGAGATCACTAATGATGCATGTAACTACAGTACTTACTCAGAGAGATCTATTTTAATCATAAAGTATCTCCACTTTATACTCAAATAGCTTTCATGACATTTCCTAATAATCTATGTGTACACGTCCATAGATTCCATTTCCCCAAAGCCCAGACTGCCAGAAGCAATCCACAAACCAGGTGCATCTGCTCAAAGCAGATAAAAGACTTAGATAAAAGACTCCCCCAGGACTGAATACTTTAGTGTGTTTCCCAAGAGTTCTGTAATTAAAATGTTTATGAGAAGACTTGACTGGGTAGCCTTTATCCCTTCTTGGAGGCATTTTCAGGTAAAGGGAGAGAATGGATTGAAGTGTGGTGTGTTCACGGATGTTGTTGAGTCCTAACTTACATGCATGCATTAGTTAGGCAGCTATGTTGGAATGTATTTATTACTGGTTAAGCAGCATCCCAGATGCAAGCCCATACTTGGTCCAAGTTCAATAATCCCAGAGGAGCACTGGAAATGAAATGTTAATATTGGCTGCAGGTTACCTATACTCTAGAGATCTAGGCTTTTTTTCTAATGTTCAACATGGAAGCCACACGTGGCAGTTCAGCACGTGAAATCTGGCCAGTTCAAATTGAAGTCTACTTAAATATAAAATGCACACCACATTTTAAAGATTTAGCATTAAAAAGGGATATAAACTATTTTATTAATAATTTTAATATTGATTACATGCTTAAGTAAAATATTAAGTAGAATTAATTGTAATAGTGTATTTTGTTAAATAATACACTATTACAATTAATTCTATTATCTATTTTTACTTTTTTAATGTGCCTATAATAAGTTTTAAATTCCATATGTGAATTGCCTTTTGTGGCTCATTGTATTTTTATCAGGCATCACTGATCTAAAATATTATATTTCTAATACCTTTAGTGTATTAAAATTCAAAGCCTCTTCATGATCTCTTCAAATTCCAAGATATTACATTTCCATGGCACTTTCCTCAAATACTTCCTCTATACACAGTTTTGCTCTATCTTAGCTCAGCCAAAAATTCATAACCTTCATTAGTTATTAATTTAAAATAAAAGATTTATAAATGTAGAAAAATTACTGACAACTTTATGGGCCAGAGTTGCATCTTAACATCTCTTACCTTTTCTTTGCTATCTTTCTTTTTCTATTTATTTATTTATTTGTTTGTTTGTTTGTTTATTATTTATTTATTTATTTATTTATTTATGTTCATTCTTCCTTTTCTTCATCTTTCTCTTCAGGAACAAAAGAATTCATCTCTCTTTTTCCTGTACAGCAGTTCCGTAATCATTATATTTTGTTTGAGACTGCTTTTGAGGTCTATCTCTCTCTACCTAAAGACATGCAGTTTTCTCCTGAAGAGGAAGTCTAGTGAATAATATTTTTTTTTGCACTTGCAATACAAAGATGAAAGTCACTGGTTAAATTTTTAGTGTATTTACAACCTAGAAGGGGACACAGAGAAGTTACAACCAAAATGAAAACAGTATGAATGGCACCATCATTGAGCTGTGCCCACGACGCTGTGAGAACACAGGGACCAACAATGCTCACCATTAATTACACAGACCAATAGAATAATTAGTGGGTAGCTACCTTGTTCTGGCTACACTCACACCATGCTCCAGCCAAGCAGCGATGTGTAATTCATTATTCCCTCTACCTCAAATTCTCTCCTGTAAAGGTTTTCTAATTTTCAGTACAATTTCACAATAAATAAAAACCCAATGAACAAATGTAAATTGGGAACTCAAAAGCATAGTTACTTTGATTTTGATGAGAGATGTGGAGTCCCATCTATTTGCCTCTCTCCACTATGATGACATAGCAACAACCCCTAATGGGGCTTTGGGGAGAACATTATAAAAACCATAGCTCTGTTCCCTTGGCTCCTGAAATATAGTACTCTCTCCTGATTTCCCATTTCTGTCAAATCCTCAGTCAACATTCTGAATGCAGGCTTCTTCTTACTTTCTCACTCTTGATCTCTCCTTATGCATTTTTATCCAACACAACTTCAGCTCTGCTCCTAAAAGCTGAGCACATCCAAGTCTAAATCTCCAGCACAACTATGCTCCAGGTTTCGGATTTAGACAGCAGCATGCCTGTGAGACACCTCCTGCTGGCTTCAGGTTCCACAATCTCCTCCATCTCTTCCTGATGCACACCTCGCACCTCAATGATTCTTCCTCTAACACACACAGACCTCTGAGATCTTGTGGTTTTGGTGCCAGACCACTGTAATAAAGCACGTATCATGAAAAAGCGAGTCATATTTGTTTTGCTGGTGGAGGATCTTGCCTTGAGTTGTAAAACACAACAGCATTATAAAGCCAGGATTGCCTATACTTCATTTCAGCTGATGAGATCCCTTTTCTTACTGTCAGCTAAATTAAACACATGTGAGTCTTTTTTACTTTTTCTATCACTCACCCCATACCAGCTTTATATATTACCAAGTCCTCCCAAATATGTATTGACTTTGTTTCATGATGGGATAATGGCCATCAGATATGCTTACAGTCTAATCCCTCAAACCTGTGAATCTGTTGCCTACCTTAACCTACATGGCAAAAGGAACTTTCCCTGGGTAGCCTGCAATCCCAGTTTATGAATTATATTCTCCAGAATCTCATCTGTGGGATTAGATGTTACCTTAAATGCTCCCATAATGCCCTATGTCTGCCTCTATCAATACCTTAAAATACTGTCTTATATGGGTTTATGAGCCTCTATTTCATCAAAGTGTTAGTTACTTGAGAAAAACTGTGCTTTACATTTGAGAGCACTACACTCAACTTGGCATATAGTATTGCACTTGCTTATTATTTGTTGAATGATATTACTGAATTAAACAATATGATATTGTACATGAGTAAAAAGAGCAGTTTCTAGGAAAGGGAAGAAACTTATTTAACAGCAATTGGAATGATATTGAGAAACATATGTCACCAGTGAAAGAAATTTTAAAGCATTTTATAAAACATTACCACTCATTCAGTTATTTATAACCTGGAAAGCTCGTCTAAGATAGGAAATGTACAAAGCAAATCAGGGTTGCAATGGTAAATTTCCAGTTAAAAGTATAAATTACCTTTGCATTTGTATGATGAAGATAAGACTCATGTTTGGTAAATGAAGGAAAAGGTTTTATAGGGAAAAGCAGTAATTTAAAATCCATATTCATATTGGAACTCAAATGAAAGTCTCTGGAATGATCTTTCATGGCCGCATTTATCTTATTATGTAGCTAAAAGGTAATAAGCCCATCTCAAGTCTTCTTTTTGTTGCTTCATTTACTACAGCATTAAAGGTAAATTGTGGAGAATATCTTATGATTTATGGGTATTAGTGTTTGAAAATTACACTATCTGGGAACTTCATATTATTAGGTCAGAGATTCTGCCAGGCAAGCTGAGAAGTGAGAAAGTCTGTTCTAGCCTGGTTCCCTCTGAAGTCTAGAGAACAGTAGTGAATTCCTTTGATGGTCAGGCAGGGGATTGCTGTAATCCACAGGTGAGATGGACTGACATGGCAAACTAACCATCCTTGGTCTTTTTCTTTCTCTTTCCTTTTTCTTTTAGGGATCTCAGATGCAAAAAATAACTGGGGGGGGGAAAGTTGTGGTGTTTTACAACACATATTGACAATTATATCCCTGGTACATGTTTTCCTACCATAGCTCCTCAACAGCATTTTAATTTCCTGTTAAATCCTCTTCCATTCTAAAAACTGGTCTTAATGGAACGCATTATGTAGTTTATTGAAAACTATCATCTTTAAAAATGCTACTAAGCAGTTCTTCAGTTCATGATCCTCCATCCTGATCAGCCAGTGTAGTCTCTGTTCTGGTCTGGTTGTTGCTGTTGCGGTGTCCTTGTTATTGGTGTTATTTCCCCTTAGATCCACACCTCCATGCCCCATGGCTTTGAAATTTCTTTCTTAAGATGCATTGGCTGTAGCCTAAAAGTGATGGCTTGCTGTTTTCTTCATTATAATCTAAGTATTTTTATTCCCAAAAATCTCTTAGTGGTTTATTTTGAAGATTACAGATATCTAGACTTTTAACAAATATCCTTTTATTATTGATTTCTAATTTTGCTATATTATTGTCATAGTCTCCAAGGTATTGCTTCCTTGATATTTAGTTGATTTTCATTGAATCCAGTAGAAACTCAATTTTTGTGAATGGCTCACAGGTGCACAAAAATAATATTTGCTTCTCAGGTATTAAATATATGTATACTTTTGCATATAGATATGTAATTCTCTATAGTTAAATAACAAAATATATAACAAAGTATTAAACATTCATACTTACATATAATTGTTATTTTCACACATTCTATAACTTCATGTCTTGTCAGTTTGATTTAACAAATAATACTTCCACTCTTAACATCTCCCCATAGCCAGGTAAGGCATTGTCCAGATAAGCACCAGTATGCCCTATGACCTATAGATTTCCTATACAAGCATTAATATCCACCATCACTCCTCCTATTGATGAAAGTTTCTTCTTTTTTTGTTCAGTAAGCAAATAAAGTTCAATACTTTGAATGAATTGAAAATAAAACACTTGGTGGTCAGGATAGGAATACTTTTAAGATGCATTCATTTAAAATGTGCCAAACACTTATTGTGTGACTTTTGACATACTACTAAATTACAGTTTGCCTTTATTATGTGTTCATAATAATGTGGACTTTATAAAGTAACTAGAGGCCTGGTGCACAAAATTCATGCATGGGAGTTGGGGGAGAGGGGTTGGTGTCCCTAAGCCCAGCCTGCACCCTCTCTAATCTGGTCCTCTTGAGGGATGTCCAACTGTCCATTTAGGCCCGATCCCACCAGGAAGGGATCGGGCCTAAATGGGCAGTCAGACATCCCTCTCACAATCCAGGACTGCTGGCTCCCAGCCGCTCACCTGCCTGCCTGCCTGCCTGATTGCCCCTAACTGCTTCTGCCTGCTAGCTTGATCACCCTCTAACCACTCTCCTGCCAGCCTGGTCACCCCTAACTGTGTTCCTCTTCAGGCCTGGTCACCCCTAACTGTCCTACCCTGCTGGCCCAGTCACCCCTAACTTCCCTTCCTTGCCACTTGGTCACCCCTAACTGCCCTCCCCTGCAGGCCTGAACCCCCCATCACCCTCCCTTAAGACCTGGTCACTCCCATCTACCCTCCCCTGCCAACTGTCTTGTGTCATGGGAGTGGCCATCTTTGGCCACTAGTGGACAATCATCTTGTGTATTAAAGTGATGGTCAATTTGCATATCACCTCTTTATTATATAGGATGGAGCAGCCATCTTTGACTATATGGGGGCAGCCATCTTTGTGTGTTGGAGTGATGGTCAATTTGCATATTATCTCTTTATTATATAGGATGAGGTTTAAATGAGTATATAGTTAGTGTTTAGAATAGTACTAAAGGCACATAATATGTATTTGATAAATGTTAGTTATTTT